TGCCTCAGTAGACGCAGTACCAGAAGGCGCAGACTCACGAGTACCTAGAGCAGCAGCCTCACCAGCACCTGGGGCAACAGACACACGAGCACCTAGTGCAGCAGCCTCACCAGTACCTAGAGCAGCAGACTGGATACCGGGGTCAGGCGGCACACACAGGTGACAGGCACTCTCAGCACTAGTAGGAAATGCATACATGGCAGTGAGGATAGCATCATAGTCAAGAGCATAGATATCTACCCTCTGCCTAAGCAGCTCCACCCAGTCGGGGAGCTCAGCCGCGTCGCCAAACTCTGTACGCCGGGCGTCGCTCAGACGGGCGAAGCAGCGGGACTCTGTGTGACCAAACGTCCCGCAAGGCTGACCAGTCCGAGCACCAGTGCGAATGACGTACGGGCAGCGAGCAGTACCCCGTGACCCTCCACGCTGAGCGTACCACTCACGAAGCTGCTGGGGCGTGAGGGACTCACTCGGACGTCGCGGGAGCTGCATCTGGCCACCGCCAGGAGCAGCAGTAGCAGTAATAGTAGCAGCAGCGCGGCCACCCCTACAACCCCAACCAGCATACCACTCACGAAGCTGTTGGGGCGTGAGGGACTCACGCGGACGGCGCTGGAGCTGCATCTGGCCACGCCAGGAGCAGCAGTAGAAGTAGAAAGAGCAGTAGCAGCAGGAGCAGCAGTAACAGCAATACGGGCAGGGCAGTGCTCACCAGTGGCGAGAAGAGCAGGCGTACGACGGTGGTAACGGCGAGGCTGCTACCACTGCAGGGCGAGGGCTCCGCGGCAGCTGCAGGGGCGGCTGCTGCAGGGGCCAGGGGCGGCTGCAGAGGTCCAGGGGCGGCTGCTGCAGGGGCAGCTGCTGCAGGGGCGGCTGCTGCAGGGGCGGCTGCTCCGGGGGCGGCTGCTCCAGGGGCCAGGGGCAGCTGCTCCCTTTTTTTTTTTTTTTTTTTTTAATTAATTATTTATTTTAGGGTTTGGCAGAGCGCACTCGGCGCTGTAGAGGCGGCTCGCGGGCTGCAGGGTGGCTCGGGCAGCAGCGAGGGGGGGGGGGGGGGGGGGGGGGGGGGGGGGGGGGGGGGGGGGGGGGGGGGGGGGGGGGGGGGGGGGGGGGGGGGGGGGGGGGGGCGCAGCGCGGGCGCCGCCGGGGCGCGGGGGGGGGGGGGGGGGGGGGGGGGGGGGGGGGGGGGGGGGGGGGGGCGCGCGCGGCTCCCTAGGGCGTCGCGACGGGGCAGCGGGGGGTCGCGCGCGGCTCCCTAGGGCGTCGCGACGGGTCAGCGGGGGCCGAGCGCGCGGCTCCCCAGGACGTCGCGACAGGGCAGCGGGGGCCGAGCGGCGGCTCCCCAGGGCTGCGTCGGACGGGGGCAAGCGGGGGCCGAGCGCGGCTCCCCAGGGCGACGCGACGGGGATAGCGGGGGGTCCGCTGCGCGCAGGCTCCTCAGGGCAGCGCGACGGGGCAGAGGCAGCGCCCACGGGGCGACACGCGCTCGGCAGGGGCAGCGCGCTGGCTGGGCAGCGCGCTGGCTGCAGGGGCGGCTCTCGGGCCTGACGGGCCTGCAGAGGCGGCTCGGGGGGGCCTGACGGGTCTGCAGAGGCGGCTCGGGGGCCTGACGGACCTGCAGGGGCGGCTCGAGGGCCGTACTAGCTTGCAGGAGGCAGCGCGAGGGCTGCAGGACGGCACGCGGGCAGACCGAAGGGCAGGTCGCACGGGGGCGCACGAGGGCGCACGTAAGGTAGGGCGCACGAGGGCGCACGAGTATAGAAAGGCGCACGAGGGCGCACGTAAGGTAGGGCGCACGAGGGCGCTTCTAGCGGAATAGTGGGCCCGTAGGAGAAAGCGGTCCTAGGTAGCAACCTAGGCTCGTGATACCATGTTAGAATGTAGAACTGAACGAGAATGTATGAAACTAGGCAGCAGGGTGATACAAGTAGGAAACCCTAGCAATGTTGTACCCCCTAAGGCTAAACCCACTATAGCCTACACAATATGAACATGTATAATGTTTGACACACCGACCTTGTTCGGTGACAACAGGGCTATGATCCTCCTATGTCGAGAGCCTTGAAGGCAAAAAGGCCTTGGTTAGATGGCAAAGTGAAGCACATCGACAAGAGATACTTTCTACTGCGAGAGCTGCAGCGACGCAGCTAGGCATGTTTGGACTTTGTGGCCTTAGCGGCCAACACTTCAAACATCTTCACCAAGGCATTTCCGCCTTGTGACCATCAGAGGTTCTGTCAACAGTAAACCTTGTTGAGGTAAGCCGTCGTTTGCTGTAATCCTGCCTCTTATTTCTTGCTCTGTTTGTCATTTTATTTATATACATTTATATATCTGTGAACTTTTGTGACCTCTTGCTTGTGCTCTGATCGTGTGGTGACTTCATGATCCACCCTGAGCTTTGTGATGTTGCTTCTTATGGCCATTTGTTTCCTTTGTTTTTTTTTTTATGCACATCACTTAGCCAATGGGGGTGTATCAAACCATGTTTAAAATGAGTTGGGCTGCACTGAGGTATATTATAGAGGGTATAACAGATTAGGGTTCCATCTTAGCTACTTCAATCATCATTCTGCAATTCGTTCTTTGATAAGACAACGCAATCGAATTTCAATGTGACTGTTGCGTAAAACGATATAATATAAAATAAAGCTACATTGGTTTACTCGTTAGAAGGTACAACTATTTTAAGGTTGCGTAATTGTATCGCAACTCTACTTAGACAGATCATTCTGTTATGTTATTATAACATGGTATCATAGCAAATTCTTCGGGTTCGAATCCCCATGTGTGCGCATGCTGGCGCTGCCGTTGTGCCATATCCTAGGGCATCGTGCACTGACCCTGTTACGGTACGAGTTGTCAATCAGAGTTGCGCAGAAAAACGAATAACGAAGGGGATACAATATGGAATGACGGTACAATGAAGGACGCGAGATAGTATAGCGACTACCTTAGCAAGGCGAGAACCTCGGGAACACGAGCTTGGGTGCAGGTTGGCAAAGGGAAACTGAAAGTGACGCGAGGTTGGTTTGGTATCAAGCAAACCTGCCGAACTTGCATTTTCGAAATTCATGATTGTACACGAAACAACTTACCCCCAGTAAGGAAAAACAGTGTTTTTTGTCACCGCCATTTTTTTTGAATGATCTAGTGGTCAGGATTTTGACATTGTTATGAGTTGTCAGGTGAAAGAGTGTGCAGAATGCAATATCGCGGAAGTGGTTACAACTACTAATCAAATAATGAAGCTTAGCACAGATTTAGCAAAAGGCTAGCTAGGCGGGGTCCGCAGGGTCACGATGGTTGGTTTCTGGCCCGGGGTTGCCAAATCCTGAAGGCGACACGAGGTACGCTCGGGAGGCGAGGTCGTCGGACCGAGCCTGGTCTTATAAAAGTCGACTAACCAATTAATGAATCTGAAAAAATCCTTAGAGACATGGTGAAAGGAAACATACATGAAGAAGATTTAGAGAAACAGCCTCTACGGGATAGCGATGAGAAGCATGGTCGTCGGTCTTTTTGCGTGTGGTGTGCAGCGTTGCCATTGATAGCGCGCGACGCTACTGTTGTCCAATCAAACACCACCGACGCTATCTGTAATATGTGTCGAAGCCTTCAGGACCCGGGTCGCATTGGTCATTTGTGGTTACGGGCACATGCCCATCCCTTCGTTGGCAACAGCCAATTACCACCCTGCACGCGCGTCGCCTCCGCTGCCACGCACTTCACACAGTCAATTCAGCCTCCCTTCGATAAAGCCCCGCTGTCACCGTCAGTGGGATGCACTGAGCAATTCTAATTTCAAGTAACAGTTTAGAACGGTTGGGTAGGGTATTGAGCAAAATTAAACGCTCACTCCCTCTCCTCGTTCGGCCCGTACCCACTCAACCCAACTATACCCACAACTAACCCAAATCAGCACGGCATAAATGCATTTTCCTTCAATTAGCGGTCTAGATCCAAACAGATCCCGCCTTCCCCAGGCCGAACCCTCAGTCTCCATGAAGCCATGAAGCCAACCGCACGTAACCGTGAAGCCAACCGCACACGGTCCTATTTCGCCGCGCTCGGTAGAGCATTCAGAGCAGAGTCGCTCATTTTACTGCTGTATTGCAAAAAGTAAATATTCCATTACGAGCTGCGACTCGGTCCGCATTCTTATTCGCTTCCTAACAATCTCGTCATAACCCCCCTTCACTTCTGCCAGAGATCATCATGAATCGATATGCGAAACCACGAACCCGGCGACCCACCATGATTCGATCAACGGCGCACGTGGTCGAAGCGTGGTTGGCACGTGCCATGATGGTCGTCTTGGTGGTCGGTGCCTCCGTAGATTACGCCTCGTCTTGCGAACCGTCGTCCCTTCCAGGCTTCGCGAATTCCGTAGATCTGTCGGGAAATGGGTAAGTCGAGAGTGCTGCTGCATGTAAGTGACTTCATTAACGTACGGAAACAATCCGAAGCACCGCTCAGGGCAGTAACTCACTCAGTTATATGCGCCGCCACTGGATTCTTTCACTTGACTAGCGTTGACTCAACGGAACGACGGGTACAATCAGAAAGACATCTGGATCGTCGAATCATTAGAAAACCAGACCGACCGAGATGATGGACGCGATCGAGACCGGCTTCTATCATAGCAAATAGTTGCCAGTGGTGCCGAGTCCGGCTGGTTCTCCGTCCACTGTTCACTCTCTTCCCTCTTGCCCATCCCCAACCCTCCGTTCTCTTTCCCCATTTCCCCTCTCCTTCCCCCCTCCTTCCCCTCCTGTCCCCCTCTGTCTGTCTCCCCACGCTCCCTCCCCGGTCTCTCCCCCCAGCCTAATGCTGCACTGGACCCTCAACGCCTCGCGCCTGCAGTTCGCACTAGAAGCCAAACCCGCCAGTGCGGCCGAGTCCGGCTGGTTCTCCGTCGGCTGGACGGCAAACCGCGGCCGTATGTACCCCGCGGATTGCGTGGTCGGGAACCTTCCGGGAAGCAGCGTCGGCGCGTATCACATCAGCGGATACAGCCAGTCTGACGTGGCGCCTTCTGATGGGTTCTCGATTGGGACGCCTGAGTTGACAGCTGCGAGTAATGGTGGCGGCACAATTATGAGGTGAGGATAGTGGCATGAGGTGAGTGAGGGGTATGGTAGAGGCCTGTACGATTGATATGGTGTTCCCTCTGCTGCTTATGATTGCTTTCCTGCTCCAACAGCTCTTCAGCTCACTCTGCTCCTGCTGATCCTTCTGCTCTTCCTGCTCCTCCTGCTCCTCCTGCTCCTCCTGCTCCTGCTGATCCTTCTGCTCTTCCTGCTCCTCCTGCTCCTCCTGCTCCTCCTGCTCCTGCTGATCCTTCTGCTCTTCCTGCTCCTCCTGCTCCTCCTGCTCCTGCTGATCCTTCTGCTCTTCCTGCTCCTCCTGCTCCTCCTGCTCCTCCTGCTCCTGCTGATCCTTCTGCTCTTCCTGCTCCTCCTGCTCCTCCTGCTCCTCCTGCTCCTGCTGATCCTTCTGCTCTTCCTGCTCCTCCTGCTCCTCCTGCTCCTGCTGATCCTTCTGCTCTTCCTGCTCCTCCTGCTCCTCCTGCTCCTCCTGCTCCTGCTGATCCTTCTGCTCTTCCTGCTCCTCCTGCTCCTCCTGCTCCTCCTGCTCCTGCTGATCCTTCTGCTCTTCCTGCTCCTCCTGCTCCTCCTGCTCCTGCTGATCCTTCTGCTCTTCCTGCTCCTCCTGCTCCTCCTGCTCCTCCTGCTCCTGCTGATCCTTCTGCTCTTCCTGCTCCTCCTGCTCCTCCTGCTCCTCCTGCTCCTGCTGATCCTTCTGCTCTTCCTGCTCCTCCTGCTCCTCCTGCTCCTCCTGCTCCTGCTGATCCTTCTGCTCTTCCTGCTCCTCCTGCTCCTGCCCGCAGGTTCTTTCTATCCCAAGACTACGTAAGTGATGAGGCGGTTTTTTAGTCGACTAAAACGTTTCCTTCGTGTTCACTTTCTGGTCCTCCTGCTCCTGCCCACAGGTTCTTCCTATCCCAAGGCTACGTAGGTCCACCTCAAACCTTCTCCAACCAACCCTCTCCTGCTTGCAGGTTCTCTCAATCAGAAGGAGACAGAGGGCCCATACCAGTGATCTTCAGTGGCAGCAGCAGCATCGTCTGGGCTTTTCCCCTTCCAACGCACTCCCTTCTCCCCTCCTGCCTGCTCTGCAGGTTCGCCCGGTCAGAAGGGGACGGAGGGGCCGTACCAGTCAGCTTCACTGGCACCAACAGCCTCATCTGGGTTCCCTCCCTTTCCTCCCAACCTCACTCCTCCTCAACCCCTATCCCACCAACCCACCCCCTCCTATCTGCAGGTTCGCCCGGTCAGAAGGGGACGGAGGGGCCGTACCAGTCAGCTTCACTGGCACCAACAGCCTCATCTGGGCCTTCTCCGAGTCTGGATCGACTGACCTGGCCTTTCACGGCAACAATGCGTGAGTGAAGGAGGGAGTGAGTGAAGGAGTGGGTGAGGAGAAGGAGTGGGTGAGGAGAAGAGGAGGCGGGGGGGGGGGGGAGGGATTTGGGTAAATTTCAGCGGCACCAACAGCCTCATCTGGGCTTTCTCTGAGTCTGGATCCACTGAGCTGGCCTTTCACGGCAACAACGCGTGAGTTATTGAGGTTGGATGAATGTGGTGTAGATGGCAAGGAGGTCGTTTTTGAGGCGCCTCAAAAACGACCTCAATCCACTGAGCTGGCCTTTCACGGCAACAACGTGTGAGTTATTGAGGTTGGATGAATGTAGTGTAGATGGCAATGAGTGAGTCTCAGTCTCAAAAATAATCTATCTACACGTCCTTTCACGGCAACAACGTGTGAGGCATTGAGGTTGGATGAATGTAGTGTAGATGGCAAGGAGTGAGGCTCAGAGTTTTTATGAATGCATATGGGAGAGAGTGAGTTTTAGAGGTTCAATGAATGTGGACTCAACGTGTCAGACTGCACCTGCGTGTCAGACTCAATGAGTGCGCCTGCCCTTATGCCACCGTCTTCTCCCCCCCCCCTCCCCCCCCCCCCCCCCCTCCCTCTCCCCGTTCCCCCCAACAACCAGAGGTTCAATGAATGTGGACTTCACGTGTCAGACTGCACCTGCTGCTGGCACCTCAAGCTCAGATGATGACGACAATGATGACGACGACAATGGGGGTGATGATGATGATGACGACGACGACGATGATGATGGTGAAGAGGAGGAAGATGAGAACCAATCATCGGGGTCCACGTCAGCAGCTGCTGCTGCGTCTGGGAGTGGCAGCCAGGCGTGCCAGCCGTCCACCCTGCCGGGTTATTCCTGCTCCGTGCAGCTCAAGGGAAAAGAGTGAGTGACCTCTGCAAGGCAAGCTGTTGTTGTTCTTGGTGTATCCAAGCCAAGCCAGGACAAAGCACTCTGGCAGCCAGGCGTGCCAGCCGTCCACGCTGCCGGGCCGGGATATGCCTGCTCCGTGCAGCTCAAAGGAAAAGAGTGAGTGAGAGGAAAAAGTGGCTGTCTGGTCGACTCAGAAGTCACATTATTAGCTGCTGCTGCTGCTGCTGCTGCGTCTGGGAGTGCTAACCAGGCGTGCCAGCCGTCCACTCTGCCGGGATATGCCTGCTCCGTGCAGCTCAAAGGGAGAGAGTGAGTGGAGGGGCAGTGGTGAGTGGAGGGGCAGTGAAGAATAATCAAGCTGGTTTCTCATACCACCACACCACCCGCCCCCTCGCAGCCACAACGGACACCCCACTCATATCCTCGTCACCTTGCCCATTCCTCCTTGCTCATACTACAACTGTTTTCACCTTTGCTAAACCTTCTCCCTTAAACTGCTGCTCTCTGGAATGTTTCTTAATCAGCTAACGGACACCCCACTCATATCCTCGTCACCTTGCCCATTCCTCCTTGCTCATACTACAACTGTTTTCACCTTTGCTAAACCTTCTCCCTTAAACTGCTGCTCTCTGGAATGTTTCTTAATCAGCTAACGGACACCCCACTCATATCCTCGTCACCTTGCCCATTCCTCTCAGAATAGAATCATGCACGCAGATAGTGTGTCACGGTCTACACGTTTTGAGACGCCTCAGAAATCCACATGTTTGGAGGTGTCTCAAAACTCATCCCACCCACTCACATGCTCTTGAGGCGCCTCAAAAAGTGTCTCAAAACTCATCCCACCCACTCACATGCTTTTCACCTCGCCCATCCCTCCTCATACTGTTTTCATAGACACAGATAGTATCACATCTACGTGCTACGTGCACCAGCCCTCATTACAATCACATATTATCTGCAGCCTGCACTCAAATTCTGGATTTTAATCCTCCCCACCCTTATTCTCTCCCCCCATAGCTCCTTCCTGCCCCCCCCGTTCACCAGCAATCCCCCCCCCCTTCTCTTTTCTCCCCCCCATCTATATGGGAGTGACTTTTGAGAATTCTCAAAAGTCACTCCCAGCAATCCCCCCCCCCCCCCCTTCTCTTTTCTCCCCCCCATCCACTTCACGACTCCTGTTAGGTTCATCCTCATTAGAAAGCTGGGGGCAACCACAGTAGCTATGGCTGCTGGAGTGATTTCTTGACGCCCTTTCCTGCCCTTGCTCTCCCCCATCTCTCCCCTCACCCCCTTCTTGCCCTCCCTTTTTTCCAGTTTCATCCTCCATTGGAAGACCGGGGCAAACACAGTAGCAATGGCTGCTGACGTGGCGACGTCTGGTTGGGTGGCGATCGGATGGTCCAAGAGCAGCAAGATGTACCCCGCTGACGCAGCCATTGGGAATCTGCCACCTGGCACTCTCGCCAACGGGGCGGCGGTGGGAGCCTATCACATGAGCGGCTACGGCCTGTCTGACGTGGCGCTGACGTCATCGTTCGAGCTGACCAACACGACGACCACCACGGCAAATGGGAGAACAACAATCACGTGAGTGTGGGGCAAATGGGAGAACAACAATCACGTGAGTGTGGGGCGTTTTTCAGATTTCCTTATCCAGCCTGAGCAGTCGGATTCAGTGTTTGAACGCCCCCTCGCAGTGCGTTCAGTTCAGTCCCCTCCCCCATCAGCAGCAGCAGCAGCAGCGGCGGCGCCACCAGCGTGCTCTGGGCCTTCTCTTGCCTCGCCTCTCTTTCTTCACTTCCATCTCTGCCCTTTTCATTCCTTCCCTCTGCACCACACCTGCAACGCAACTGCAGCTCCAAGCCACCCCTCCCTTGCGGTGCGAACCGTCCCCATCAGTAGCAATGGCGCCACCAGCGTGCTCTGGGCGATCTCAGGCCAGATCATGCCTTTCCCTTGGTCCTTTCCCTTCCCCTACCCCAACCTGATCCCACCCCTATCCTCACCCCAGCTTTGAGCAGCCCCTCAGTGGAATCGGTCCCAATCAGCAGCCCCTCTCAGTGGAATCGGTCCCAATCAGCAGCCCCTCTCAGTGGAATCGGTCCCAATCAGCAGCCCCTCTCAGTGGAATCGGTCCCAATCAGCAGCCCCTCTCAGTGGAATCGGTCCCAATCAGCAGCAATGGCGCCACCAGGAGAGCACAGCGCACCCCTCCCACTCTCCCCATCCCCCATCCTTAACCCCCCCCCCCCCCCCGCGCCCCCAGCTTCGAGCGCCCCCTCAGTGGGTGCGGTCCCGATCAGCAGCGGCGCCACCAGCGTGCTCTGGGATTTCTCAGAGTCTAAGCACACCCCTCCCCGCTCCCCCCTTCTCCCCCATCCTCCATCACCTCTCCCAGCTTCGACCGGCCAGTTTCGGTGGGAGCCGTGCCCATCAGCAGCAGCGGCGCCACCAGCGTGCTCTGGGCCTTCTCAGCGTCTAAGCCCGCACACCCTTGCCTCCCTTCCTCTCCCCCATCCTCCACCACCCCCACCCCTCCCCCCCCTCCCCCCCCCCCCCCCCCCGCGCGCAGCTTCGAGCGCCCCTTGTCAGTGGGTTCTGTCCCATTCAGCAGCAGCGGTGCCACCAGCGTGCTCTGGGCCTTCTCATGGTCTAAGCCCGACCACCCCTCCCCCTTCCCCCATCTTATCCACCCTTCACCTCCCGCCCACAGCTTCGAGCGACCCCTCTCGGTGGGTTCTGTCCCCATCAGCAGCAGTGGCGCCACCAACGTGCTCTTCGCATTCTCTCGCCTTGCCTCCCTCCTGTTCAACTCTGCCTACTTTTTGTCCCCCCCTGGCTTCACCTCACCCGCAACACAATTGCAGCTTCGAGCGACCCCTCTCAGTGGGAGCGGTCCCCATCAGCAGCAGCGGCGCCACCAGCGTGCTCTGGGCCTTCTCTCGCTCCGACTCGCAGCAACTGGACGACCACGGGCCAAATGAGTGAGTGGGCCAGCTTAAAAGGGGGGGCATATCCGTTCTGTGTTCAAAAGGTGAGTGACATGCTAGCATGGGTGAGCACCAGCGTGCTCTGGGCCTTCTCTTGCTCCGACTTGCAGCAACTGGACGACCACGGCCCCAACGAGTGAGTGGCAAGGCAGGGGGGGAAGAAGGTTAGGGGCTATAGTATGGTTAGGTTGGGCTTGGGTGCTCTGGGCCTTCTCTCGTTCTGACTCACAGCAACTGGACGACAACGGACCCAACGAGTGAGGGGCATGTGCTGGGGAGAAAGGGGCTTGCTTGGCCCAACCAGTCGGTTGCAGGCATGGGAAGCCAATAGGCCTTCTCACGCTCTGACTCGCAGGAATTGGCTGATTACTGGCCGAACGAGTGAGTGGGCAGGCATGGGGGAAGAAGATATGGCAATAGTATGCTTGTGCGGACCCCTGCGCTGCCCCGGTTTCTTAGGCGCCTCAAGAGTCGTCTTTTGAGACGCACTCAAGAGTCTATTCTTGAGGCGCCTCAAAAGCAGGCATGGGGGGAGAAGATATGGCTATAGTATGCTTGGGCGGACCCCTGCGCTGCCCCGGTTTCTTAGGCGCCTCAAGAGTCGACTTTTGAGGCACACTCAAGAGTTCCTATTGTCAGATATTGATACTGTTCTGTTTGTCTCACCTCACCTCCCTTCCACTCCCCCCTTCTCCACCTCCCACGCCCCCCATTTCCTGCTCACTAGCTGCCAGAGGCTCCTTTAGAATCAACTTTGTTACAGGCACAGTGGAGTCAGGGAAATCGAAAACCAATCCCCCACTTCCTCCTTCCCCCCTCCCTCTCACCACCCTCCACCCACCAGAGGCTCCATTAGAATCAACTTCATTACAGGCACAGTCGACTCAGGGAAATCGAAAACCAATCCAGAGACAGTCTACGCAGCACACGGGTGGATTCTCACTATAGCGTTTGGCATTCTCATGCCTGCTGCCATGCTTATATCGAGGATATTTCTGGCGGATAAGCCAGCAGAGGCAGCGGCAGCAGCAGTGTCAAGGGAAGAAGCAGCTAAGGGAGGGGATGGGTCAGTTGAGCCCATTTTGCAAGGAAGCAAAGAACTGGACAGGGTTCAACCGGACAGGCTTTTACTGGGGGTAGCAGGAGATGGAGGAGAAAAGCCAGTAGCAGCAGGGGCAGCAGGTTTTGCAGGGGCAGTTACCCCAGTGGCCATAGGCCCTGGGTTAACCATTGTAAAACCCTGGATTTCCAAGCCTCAAGCATTCAACGCCCACAAGTGGATCATGCTCCTTGCTGTCGTGCTCTCATTGGTCGGAATCATCATGGCGTTCATCCAATCAGGGACGAGCTCCCTGCAGTCGACACATGGCAGGCTGGGATTGGCCGTGCTGCTGCTGATCGTCCTCCAGCCAATCATTGGACAGCTGAGGCCTGTCAAGGGCCACGTGTCGCGACGCTATTGGTTCGCGCTGCATTGGGTGGTGGGACTGGCGATTGTGGCAATGGCTTGGAGCAACACGTACCTTGGGATTGACCTTGCTAGCAGCCGATTCGGATACAACCTCGATGTGAGTTCCTGCGTGCATAGTGTGCTTTATGACTTGACTCGTGATTGTGGCGATGGCCTGGAGCAAAACGTACCTTGGGATTGACCTTGCAAGCAGCCGATTCGGCTACAACCTCCATGTGCGTCCCGCCACCGTCTTTTGAGGAGCCTCAAAATTTCGGCTACAAGCTTGATGCGAGTCCCGCAACCGTTTTTTGTTAGTTTTGAGTTTTCGTCTTCTCTTTTCTTTCCTTGTAATGCATGAACCTAGCTGTGTAGCTTCACACGGTTAACTCTGCAAGTTAACTGTTTGGTTTCTTCTTCCTGGTAATCTGTGTGTCTCCTTGTACTGTATCGCTCGTGTCGTGTTATATCTTGCTGCTTGTTAGTAACCAGTGCTCCTCTCCCTCCGTTCTCCACCCCCCCCTTCATTTTGTTGCCCTTCGTGAAGTGGCTACATTAGTTTTGTTCCTCCGATTTCCTCTCATATTCCTTCCCCCTAACTTATCTTTCCCACCTTCCTTCCCGTATCCCCACTTCATCGATTGCAGTGGTGCTACATTGTGTTCTCCATCTTGATTGGTATCTTCACTGCTGCTTACGCGATCGACTTTGCGTTGGACCAGCTGGGATTCATCATGCTTCGATATAAGCAGTCTCTTGTTGAATCTGAAATGCACCGTGCAAAGGCAGTGGAGATAGTGTAGCTTGCTGGTACCGGTGGTACTGGTGCTGATGCTGCTGAATCGTGATGCTCCCTGTAAGGATGCTGTTTGTTCTGATCCTCAATGGTATTGATGCGCTCATGGTCCTGAAACATGTACCGTATCAGGACAGCATTCAGTCCAGGGATGTCAGTCCTCTTCTACATGTTGTTCGACCGTTTGTCCAGTAAAATTTAGTTCGACCGTTTGTCCAGTGAATTTTTGTTTGACCGATTGCTCCATGGACCTTAGAGCGTATTCCTATCCTCGTATCAAGAGAACCTCATATCAACCTCCCACCAAAAATTCCACATAAACCCAAAACCTCTCGCTAGTTTTACCAGGCAAAAAGTTCAATCTTGATATGAGGTTCAGTTGATACCGTCATCGCCCGGATATAAGACATATATGTCTTATCTCATACACTAAAAAAAATGCTTGGGTTATCTTGTATTTGGGGAGGTTTTGGGTTTCTTATAAGTCTTATAAATGGAAACTTTTTTAAACTACTTAGAAATATTTTCACGCATCTTGAAAAGAGTTTCTCATTAAGAGTGTCGATGTTGCGAAGGTGCCACTTCGGCAACCATTGTTCGGGACGCCACGTCATCCCGAATACTTGCAGAGTCAAATTTGGTAGTATGCGAGTCAACACGTGGCAGAATTCGCGTGTCGCAAGCAGGGCCTCAGATTGGTTTTGAGCTAGGCTGAACCAATCAGAGTTGGTACAAAAAATTATGCTAAAAATCAGAAAAATCTGCCATTTTATGCCAGTTTACACAACAAATCACATAAATTTTCCTGTTTTTTCACAGAAAAATGCTGAAAAATCAGCCACAGTTCTAAAAAAGGTCTGAAATCTCAGCCTTTTTTACCCAAATCAGCCTTTTTTCGCTGACTTCTGAGGCCCTGGTCGCAAGGGTAAAAATGTACGCGGTATTTCAATTTTCACTATAATACATTGCAGTTTCGATTATAAGACACGTATGTCTTATCTCGTACACACAAATAGGTGTCGTATAAGAAGGCTAGCCTGTTTATAAGAGACACCTGTATAATAGACAACCCCTGTCTACTATTCAACACTGTCTTATATCCGGGCGATGACGGTACGAGGATAGGAATGCTAGAAAGGCATAGTGCCAGCGTAGCGGAACCATGTTTGTAGAAAAGAACAAGATAGAAATCTTGCATTGATCATTGAAAAGTAGAATGATAACACAATGATGATTCAATGATAACTCAATGATGTTGAAGAAGTGACACAGCAGGGTATATATGCATCCAGCTACCCCTCCAAAATGACCCCATTCACACCAATAATGGTGTACCAATAATTGTACCCTCTACCCTCCAATAATGCTGAACTCCAATAATTGTGGCCCCTACAATAATTGTGACAATTATTGTAAGACCTGGAGGCTTATAAAGAGGACTACACTAAAACCAAACAGCACACTGGTATACAGTATTCGTTATACTGTATTCGGATTTCCATGAGAAGAAACGAGGAATGAAATGACTAAGTGAAAGTTGGGTACAAGAAGCAAACCCTAGAAAACTGTACCCCATATGTGCTACCCCACTATAGCCTACAGTAGCTATGTCATATAAATCTGACACACCCCCATAGGCAAAGTGGGGGAGAACAAGGGGTCACAAGACCAGTCAAGCAAAGCAAAGCAAAACAAGCTCAGGGTGGATCACAAAGTCACCACACATTCCGAGCACAAGTTCAAGGCCACAAGGCCAGTTCACAAGCAGGAGTACACATATATATAAAAAAGGGCTAGACAAACAAGAGCAGGTGAGGCAAGGTAGGCACAAGGCCCAGCTGAGTACAGAAGCGCTGATGGTCACAAGGCGCAAGTGCCTTGGTGAAGATATCAGCAGTGTTGGCCTCAGAGGCCACGTACGCAAGACGCAGCTGACCACGCTGCTGCAGCTCACGAGCAAGAAAGTAGCGGAGAGCAATGTGCTTCGTTCTGTGCTCCAGTCGCTGCTCCCGACACAAGGCCAGCATGGCCTTGTTGTCTACGTACAGCACTGGAGGAGAACGAGGCAACTCTCCGAGGTCAGTCAGCAGGTAGGTGAGCCAGCGAAGCTCCTGTGCAGCCATGGCTCCTGCGTAGATCTCAGCCTCACAACTGGAGCCGAGAACAGAAGACGAGCGAGTAGCCCGCCACGAAACAGAGCCGGAACCAAGGCTGAAGGTGTAACCCTGTGACGACCGCTGCGTAGCCTGGTCGTCAGCCCAAGAAGCGTCTGCGTGCCCAGTAAGGACCACTGGACTCTGCCCTCCAAGCACAAGCCCCATGCCCGACGTACTGCACAAGTAGCGCAACACCCTCTTCGCTGCAGCCATGTGCTCCGGTCTGTGTCTCCCAGGAGCAACATAGCGTGCAAGAATGCTAAGAGGGTATGCAAGGTCAGGTCGTTTGCAGGTCATCAGGTACATGAGGCAGCCAACAAGCTCTGGGTACGGGCCACTCGACTCTACGGACTCATCCGAAGGCAGAGCTGAGAGCGAGTGGCGAGTAGGCAGAGGAGTGGCCTGAGGCGAGGAGTACGTGAAGCCGAAGCGCTGAAGGACCTGCTGCACCATGTGTGACTGAGTCAGGGTAATGGTGCGGCGTGCTCTGTCCCGAGTGATCTGCAAGCCAAGGTAGCTGCGCAGTTCACCCAGGTCAGTGCACGTATGTCTCTTCTGCAGCTCGGACTTCACGTGGGCTAGTCCAGCAGTG